AGAGCGAAGCTGCTGAAGACTATCAGCTCTGCGCGCTGCGTCCATTCCGTTTGTCTCTGAGTGAGCTCTCTGTGCCAGCCCTGTCTCGGGCTCTGGTCACCAGCAGTGCCCGCCCGACGCACGCCTTCTGGTGTGTACGTGGGGGCAGCTCAGGCCACCGCTGTCCAAGGTCCACAGGTCTGCAGTGCCCGTGCGGCAGCCGTGGGTCGCTCGTGTCTGTGAGCACTTGAGGTGCAGCAGCTGCCACAGACCTCTTGTTGCTACTGTGGCTGTGGCTGAGGTGCTTACACACAGGGCTGTGTAGTTCAGGCTGGTCTTGATCTCACTACGGAGCCCGGGCTGTCCTCAAACTCAGCCACCCTCCTGCCAAAGCCTCTCAAGTGCAGGGACTGCAGGCGTGAGCTACCATGCCCACCTACTTAAACTTCATTTCACTTTAATTAAATTTAAATCTAAGTAGCTACCTGTGGCCGGCGGCTGGCAGGTGTGGGCTAGTTGATTAATCCAGGCCGTCAGCCGAAGTAAAGCGAAGGGAGACAACAACCACAGGCAAGGCTGCTCCTTCGCCTGCTGGCTGTGCCGTCGCTGCACTCCTGGGACCTGAACCCACGCCCCGGGCCCTGCTCGGCTCAGCCCACTGCACCGGCCAGCCGCCGCGCTGGAGCGACTCCCCGGGCTGGCTCCCCAGCGCTCTCCCGCGGCCAGGAGATGGCGTGGCGCCCGCAGGCGCTCTGCTTTTTCCGAAAAGACGACCGCAAGCTCGAGCGGCGGCGCGTCTCAGCGTGGAGCCCACGCGCCGACAGAGCGGGCTGAGCTCGCTGCTCTCACGGAGGGTGGGCGAGTACACGCCGCGCCGCGCCACGGGCGAGGCGGCTGCTGCCCGAGGCCGGAGTCTGAAAGAAAACAGGCGGGCAGCGGCGCTCTCCGTGGTGCTGAAGGGCGGCCTCGCGCCTACCCAGGCGCAGGCAGCTCCAGCGTGCTCAGGAGCCCGGAGACGGCTCGAAGGACAGCGGCTGTGGAAAGCTGACACCAACGCGCACAAGTCTCAGCAGCTCTTTGTCATTTAAGGACACCGAGAGCCTCGCATACAGAATTACCGGTGGACAGGTGACGGCTAGCTCTATTCAGAGTTGGGAAACTGAGGAAGAGAGATAACTTGGAGAAGAACCGCAAGTGTTGTTTTTCACCCCCACCCCCAAGTTCCCCAGGGTCCTCCAAGAAGAGGCGGCCAGGGTCGGGGGGCCCTCGCAGCCCCACTTTGTCTCCTATGGACAGCAGCTTTGGGTGGGCCCTCTTTCTCCTTATGGAGCCCCCCAAGTGGCGGCGAGGGAATCTCCAGGAGAGCTCCGGTAGCTGTGCGCACTGCTTGCTCCTGAAATGAATGTCCATGTGGACGGTCCTGCTTCCCAACTTGGACTCTTAGATTTTAAAGAGTCTCCCACAGTCCCACCCAAGCACCAAAATATCCCTAGTTGCACAGACACAAAAGAGAGGTTTTGTTTCCCTTCAAGGCGCGTCAACAGCATGAATGCATGTTTGAAATGAAAGCAAAGCCCGCCACTGCCTCTGTCACCTGAACGCCCTGCACACGGGGATGGCAGAAACCCAGAGCCCTTTCCGGCAGTGAAGCACACAGAGCCGGGAGGGTGCAAGTGGCTGTTTCGGGGGGAGACGGAAGACGCCTTTGGGTGGTGGTGCGCTGTGCAGGCACCTGGGTGGGGCTGAGTCCTGGCTGTGGGCGTATGAGATCTGCGTGGGCTGAGGAATCCGGCCCGTGAACAAGACCGCGCATGACGGGAGAGGCCAGGGTGTGAGATGACTCATACCTTTTGGGATGTGGGAGGGCTTATCTGAGCCGGCAACTTTCAGTCCAAGGGGCTCTGAATCCACGGCGGCGGGAGGACATGTTCACCTGTGGGGCAAAGCGCAGGGGCCCAGTGACAGAGGAGGGACAGGCATCCCGGGTCCCTGGGGCTGGGGCTGGCACATCTGCATCCCCGCATCTGACTACAGCTCAGGGTTCTGCACCCCCAGAAAAACGATGGATGTGGAAGAAGAGGAAATGACAAGGGCGCTTCTGCACAAGTGAGTTTCCAGAGAGGTGACTCTGGAGTCCCCGTCCTGAATGTGTCTAGTCTGCCCAAAGCCCATCTACTCCAAGCCTCCACTAGCCGGGGCGGGAAAGGGGAACAACGGACTGAGCCCTCCAGGAGCACAGAGTCCAGTGCTGCGATGAGCGCACTCACCACTCGCGTGGCACATGGGAGCCATGTCGACACCTAACGTCACGGATACGTGTGATCACCGCCACCGCCCCAGCTGGCAGTGCTAATGATGACTGCTGTAAGTGACACCCACTGCTCATGAACTACAGTAACAAAAACCACAAGAGAGGGCCAGGGAGCTAGCTCAGCTGCATAGTGCCTGCCTGGCAGGCGCAAGGTCCTGAGTTGGATTCCCAGGACCACAAGAAAGAAGAAAAGCATGGCAAGCATCAAGCCATGCCCTGCTCTCCTGGTGGAGTGGCACGCTCTGCTCTGCGAGCCCGCTCCCCTGCACAGACCTTTGTACAGAGGAAGAAGCAGAAGTGCGGGAGATTCAGTAACTTGTGCAAGGTCACACAGTGGAGGGTTGCAGGGCCAGGACCCAAGGCCAGGCCGCTAACGTGGAGGGAGCATGTGCTCTCCCACCCAGGGCCAGGGCTCCCCGTACACATGGGAGCTCACACCAAGAGCAGCGCCTGCCGGGCCGGGGGCGGGAAGCTGGAGGAGGAGATGGCAGAAGTGTCCCCAGCTGAAATGGATTCCGAACCTATTCCAGCTAAATGTGGACTACATTTGCTGCTCCTGCATTATTCATGACAGTCGCCGTTTCCCCAAGTCAGCACCAAGAGCCCGGCTGAAGTTCGGAGCTCTGCAGATTCCTGCCCCACATTTCCACCTCCTGCATGGATGCAAAACTGGGCTGCCTCCTCAGGAGGGCTCCACAGGGCCCTCCCCCTGCTTTCTTCACTGCCCGCCACATGAGGGAGAAGGAACTGAAGCCAGTCCTGTTCTGCCAGTGACCCCACCCTACAGTGGACAAAGCAAGGCCTGCCCAGAGCCCCAAGTCCCCAGAAGTCCCTGCTTCCTAGTGAGCCCCTGGGGCTGTGTCCAGCCAAGAGGCCCCAGAAGGCTCAGCCTGATGATGCCAGAACAGAGGCGTCCACTCAGTTCTCTCTGACACTGTCACCCTCCAAAAGGGAGTGTGGCTTCTTGACACCTCAGTCTACTTAACAAGACTTGAGAAATGACCCACACACACACTGGAAAGAAGAAAGACAAACAGCTCCTTCCAGGCAAGTGGTGGCTGTGAGGGGTGTGGTCCCAAGCAGATGGGGCTCTGCCACCCAGCTGCACCCTGGGCCAGGCCCAATGGAGCCACACAGTGTGCATGCCCTGGTACCCACACATCCTGGGGGTTTCACAGCAGTGGGAAGGGGGCTGGTCAGGCCTGCACAGAGCCCACACATCTGGAAGCCCTCCAGAGCGCAGCTCAGCGGGCAGCCTAGCCAGAGCCCTGAGGTGGCAACTGCCCAGCACCCAAGGAGCCCAGCTGTGAGTGCCAAGCTGCCACCCACAACTGCTGCCTTGCCCGCCCTGTGCATGCAGGCGTGGGGGCACACCACACAACATGCGCGCATGCACACACGCACGCGGGCACACACACACACACACACACGAGCCCACGCCTGGAGCTGAGGGAGGGCTGTGTTTGCCCCCTCTGGTTCGCAGGGCCCAGGGTCAGGGAAGCTCTCCAGCTTGCTCCAGGAAAACAACAGCACAGAAAGGCCGCCTGGGACCAGGGCCGGCGCCGAGTAGACAGGCAGGAGCATTATATAATTAACTGCCCAGACTCCGCCTCCTCTTCGGGTAATAACGAACCTGCTTTTCAGTTGCATAAGCCAAAATAATAATTACTTGCCAGCCCTCATCACTCCTGGATGTGGCCAGAGAGCAGAGCACGGAGCCTTTTGCCAGAGACCAGGAGGCAGCGGCAGGCAGGAGAGAGAGCACACGCACACTCAGGGGTTTTATTCCCAGCAGAAGCACAAGTCATTGCTGCGTCTCACTCCCTTTCCAGGCATCCATGCCTGAAAAACCACCTTCGGAGAGGGGAGGCTCCGGGAAGGCAGTTGGATTGGGGTCTGCTGCCTGTGGGCACCAGGGTGCACCGGGGAGTGGAACTGGAGCATCCAGACAGGGGGCAGCTGCAAAGCCAGCAGCGGCTCCCTGCCCAGAAACCGCCTTTCCGGCAGCTCACTGGCTTCCGGCGCCCGCTCTGCCCAGAATGTGGTGGCATCTTTCAAGGAAGGTGCAGAGCAATTCCCTGAATTAACAGTGGAAAGATTTAGCCACTGAAAGTCGAGGTTCCTGGGCTCTTGCTAACAGATGGGCCTCCCTCACTCGCTCCCACCCTCCCTCCCTCCAGCAGGCTGTTTCGACAGTGAAGCTTGCGTCCAACCACCTAGAAGTTTACTGCCTTGCTGTTTGGTTGGGTTGGCATCCCCCCCGCCTCTAGCACTCCCAGGTGCTCCTTCTCCATTGGCCTGGGTTGATCAGGACTGAGGGAGGCCTGGGCACCCCAGGAAAACAAGAAGAAAGCTGGGGCTTGGGGGGGGTGCAGAGGGCCCCTCTCCTGCCCCTGCACCCATGGTGAAGCCAGAGGCAGCCAGGCCTAGTCTGGCCTTTTGGGCAGGTCTCTGGCCTGCTCCCGGGTGCTGTGTGGAGGCCTTGCTCAGCGCCACTGCGAGGGCCTGGCTGGCGGCTGGAAAGCCCCCCACACCTTCTCATAGCACAGGGCCCCGTCTCCCCCCAGGCCGCAAGCAACCTGTGGCCAGGGCCCAGTGAGGCCTCCAGGGCACTCGGGAAAAGCCCGGGCCCGCAGCCCAAAAGGAAAGGCTCAACTTCCCGTGATAAACAGAGGGGCGAGTGGGGAGGGCCCTCCGCGCGCGCACCCACCTCCATCCGAGTAGGTCTCCGTGCCGTAGCCGTCCTGCAGTCCGTTGCTCCAAGTGCCTTCGTACTTGGCCCCGTTGCCCGTGCACTCCCGCACCCCATAGCGCCCCTTGAATCCGTGTGTCCACTCGCCCTTGTACACCCACTTCCCCTTGCTCTCCAGGCCGATGCCGTGGCGCTTGCCCTGCGCCCAGGTGCCCTGGTACGTGTTGCCGCTCGGCCAGGTGTAGACGCCCAGCACCTCGAAGCCGTGGCTCCATGAGCCGGTGTATTCGCCTTGGCCCTTGGGGCCGGTGCAGACGCCATGGCCGTGCGCCTTGCCGTCCTCCCAGCCTCCGCAGTACGACCCTCCATCGTCGAAATTAAACCTGCCCCCAGTGGACATGCATGTACCGCGGTCCGCGAATCCCGCAGGCGGCGAAAAAGGACGCGGCGCCCGCGGAGCCGGAGTCGTGCTCAGCCGGCGACGCCTGGGGCCGCCGCTCGCTCGGGAGCTCGGAGGACGCGGGCAGCTCCACGCGGGCTCGGGCCGCTCCGGCCGCGCCGAGTCCACGGACGCGCGTGT